AGTAAGTTTTTCAGCATAATGTCATCAGAATATATTAAGCTCTTATATGTGTTTAATATACTATACCATTGAGAGAAGCTTGGTAGGCATATGGGAAAACTTTCACAACTAATACACTTTCACAATATCATTGATTTTCACTCTAAACATCATTCGTTTATTTTACAAATATATGTTGAGCACTTGCTACGTACTGAGGCCCATGCCGGGTGCTGATCATATAGCTTATGGAATTATTGGAACAATATTTCAAAAGTCACTTGCAATAACTAAAATATAGTCTCAAAAGTCCATAACAGAAAAGTATTAAATTTTCTAGTCCTTAAATACTATCTTCTTTTTAAAAAAATAAATAGGTCGCTGAATAGCGTGTATTCTATCAGAAAATAGTCATTTTGAAAGGATTGCTTTCTTTGACTTTCAATCACAGCAGCGCACCCCTAGAAATCAGCACCATCCTCAGGGGAGAAATGTGAGTTTCTGGCTGTACCTGCCCTGAGTTGAGGAGGGCATGTCTGTTTCTTCGGATGATTCTGGTTTTACTTGGTTCTGTTGGGATGACATGCCAGCTCCTGCCCCCACATTCCAGCCAAGACCTCACTCCCAGGGGAAGGGGAACCTGTGAATGTTCTGTCCCCTTAAGTGTTGGCATAAATGTCAAAATTTCAGACTTGGAGACCTGCAGCCCCAGAAGAGGCCCTGGTCATTGATAATTCCCTGTTCTCCTCTCGGTCTGTGGACTTGGTGCTGAGGCCCAGTGTTGCCTCAGGGTTCAGCACTGGTTCAGGCTGTCCCACCCAAACCTGCCACCTTCCTAACACCCGGCAGTGTCTCCGAGGTGGTGCAGAGGGAAGAAGAACCACTGGACACGTGGAATCCTGACTCCACAACTTCCTAGCTGTGTGGCTCTGGGCTCCTCGCTCAACCTCTCTGAGGCCCAGGTTCCACACCATGAAAAGGGGAGGGGTAGTACCGATAGGATGGTTGTAGGGCTTCTGTGAACAGTTCTCCGGAGTTTAGCACCGCAAATGGAACTCTTGTTACTGTCATCTTGAAATAAGTTTGGAGAACTTGACCCAAAGCCTTAAGCAGCGCCTACCCCAGGACAGACGTCAGCCTCCCCGTGCGCCTGACCTTTGCTGAGTGCACCTGCCCTTCACTGACCTTCGCTGCACACACCTGACCTTCGCTGCTCTTCCTTTGCAGAGTCCCTGAGGCAGGAGCTGTGGGAGCAGAAGGCCGCCTGCTCTGAGCACCAGAAGGACTTGGAGGCGTTGCAGGCTGAGCTGAAGGCTCTGGGCAGCTCTGACAGGCGGCAGCCCATCACCCCGTGTGCAGGGGACAGCGAGGGCCACGCCAACACCACCGAGGTCAGCGCCCTGGCCACCCACCCCACCCCTCTCCAAGCGGTGAAGGCTACCGCAAACTCCCAAAGGCGAGGCCCGGGTACTTGTCTGAAATGGGGAGGACCCTTCTCCTCCTGCTAGGGGGTCCCTGGCGAGCCTGCAGACTCCCCTCTTCGTAAAGCAAAACACAGGTTTCAAGTTCTACATGTTGTTTTTAATTCAGACACAGCAGCCTCTCGGGGTGCTGGTACCAGGCAGAGCTTAAAGGTGGCCAGCCCGCGCCCACCCCCCCAACCCCCACTCCCCGTTCAGGGTCTGCAGGGGGGATGTCTCTGAGCTCCTCTCCCCGTCTAGACCTCCCTGTTCCCATGGTGGGAGCAGCCTTGTCACCCCAGCTCAGGGCCCCCTCTCCGTGAGCTTCCTGGTCAGACATGGGCCCATTGGGCCCATTGGCCCCTTGCTTGCACATCCATGATTTCCCACCGAGCTGGGTAGCACAGTGACCTCTTAAGAGCCCAGACCTCTCTCCCAAGCCTGCTTCAGGCATTCATAAAGTGCATTTGTATGTCGCCCTCAGTGGTGCCCTACTGCTGTTGAGGCTGGAGGCTGGGAGGAGCACATCTGGGCCATGTCCACCTTTGCGCCTCCTGAAAACATCTCTCCTGGCTACCTTCTCCCCAGGGTGGGAGCGGCCCAGGCCCCGCAGGCTCCCCGAAGGGCACCACTGAGCAGACTCCCAGCGAGGGGTGCCTCCTCTGGGAGAACTCCCAGCTCAAGGACAAGGTGCGGCAGCTGCAGGCCGAGGTGGAACAGCACCAGCAGGAGGCGCTGCAGCTCCGCGACCAGCACAGGTCTGTCTGCGGGCCTCAGGGCTTCCCTCACTCCCTTCCCTGCCTCCACTGCCACTTGGGGAGCCTGGGATCCCCCCACAGCACCTTCCCAAAGAAAATACTCCCTAATCCGCTAGCACTTCACTGACATTACTCCCTTGATGCAGGGGTTAGCCCTGAAATAGAGGCAGGAACTCAGTTTCTCTATAAATCAGGGAATTTATGGAATCAGACCTAACGATACCAAAGGTATCCTCAAAACCAGCCTTAGGGAGACAGTGCTGTGTGCCCTTAACTAGCTGTGTTTGGGCGAGTCAGCTAACCTCTCCAAGACTGTCCTCTTCTGTGGTGGAGATGGCACCACCTCACAGGGCTGCTGCAGACAGCAGGACACTGTATGCGAGAGGCCCCTGGCCTGGGGGAGCACTCGGTAACCTGTGGCGTTACCATACCTAATCCAGATTGGATAGCTCATCATCAGTCCTGAATTCACAGCCCTCCCCTCTCCCCCACTTCTTGGAAAGTTCATGAGTTCAATTTTAACTTCATTAATAGCTATAGGACTTTTCAGGCTATCTGTTTCTTCTTGAGGGAGCTTTGTCAGTTCATATTTTCCAAGGATTTTGTCCATTTTATCTCAGTTGTTGAAGTGAAAGTAGTTGTGCAAGTGAAACGCTCATCTAAGAACAGCTATGGGCCCACTTGGCTAAGGTGAGACACCTCGATTTCAGTTAGGGACTCACCACGTGACACTGAAAAAGGAGGTGGGAGCAGGGTAAGGACTCCTCACTATTCTGGGGGACAGCCCCTTCCAGTTCAGAAAACAATGGTCCCTCCCCTGGGAGAAGAATGTAATCACACAAAATTATGCACCTACTTTCTGAGGGAGACACACCCCTGAGGCTTGTCTGTAGGCCCCTTAGGGGCCCACACTTAGGTTAAAGCAAAGTGATGGCTGGTGGCTGGACACCTGCTTTGGGCTACAGACTGTTCTGGACATGTATGGACAGGGTCATTCCTGCACTGGCCCTGTAGATAGCCACAGTTGTCACCTCCACTTAACAGATGAAGACACTGAGCCGGGCATACCTTGCCCAAGGTCACACAGCTAGGAAGTGATGGAGGAGGCGGCAGACGGACATGGCACCCCGGCTCTCCACACTGCTCTCCTGACCCCACCCACCCTGCCTTTCCACCTGGACTGGGGATCTCCGAGGTCTCAGAGTCCAACTCTCAGTAATTCTGACACAGAATCTCTGCATCCAGGCCTCCCCACCTGCCCCGAGTGGAGGGAATGCTTCCCAGGGCTCCCCTCCAGAGCTGCCTCCTACTCCTGCCCCCTGTAGGCTGTTCTTCATGGAACAAGGAGGTTTCTCCCTCATGGAATGCTGGGGTGGGAGTGCTGAGAAGGGGCTCCACAAGAGAGAAGGGGCTTATCCTGGACCCCACACCTCACACACCCCAGGCTTCCTTCCCACGGTGTCCTGACCTCAGATGCATAACCTACCTGGACCCATCGTCTCCAAACCTGGCCACCCAGCAGAAGGGGGAGAAAACCCCAGCGCCCAAAAGGGGGGTCCCCAGAGCTGGGTCAGCCCAGTTGTGCTTCCATCCACTGCAGGCAGCTGGAGGAGGACCAGCAAGCCCAGCAGGCCCGGGAGGTGGAGATGCTCCGCCAGGAACATCGGAAGGAGATGCAGGCTATGGTGGCCGACTTCAGCAGCGTTCAAGCCCGGCTTCAGGCCCAGCTGGCTGCCCTGGAAACCGAGTAAGTGAGGGGGGAAAGAGTAGAGGTACCATTTATGAGGGGACTCTCCCAGTTTTAAAACTAGAAATCCTGAGTCCCGGGAAGTACCTCAGCCCCGGAGGAACTGGGATGGTTGGGCACCTGTCACGTTATGACACTGCGGTCCCCCTTTGTGCAGGGCCCTGGGAATCTGTGAGGAGTAAGACTGCCTCATGGGCTTGGTTTGGCCCTCACACTGGGAAGAAATCAGAAGGATCAAGGCTACCTTTCTTATTAGCATTGGCCCTCTTCCAACACAGTCCTGCAAAGTGGAAATTATTATTCCTATGGATAGACTAGAGGCCTGGTGCATGGATTCGTGCACGGGTGGGGTCCTTCAGCCTAGCCTGCACCCTCTCGCAATCTGGGACCCCTCAGGGGATGTCGGACTACTGGGGATCAGCCTGAAACCAGCAGTCTGACATCCCCCGAGGGATGTAGCAGTGTTGAAGCGGCAGGCAGCTGGGGAGGAGCCCGAGCCAGGGCCAGGTGCCCCACCACTCCCACTCATCCTGGCCCCGCTGTGCCTGCCACTGCTGCTCGGTAGCACTGTGGGAGCACACTGACCACCAGGGGGCAGCTCCTGCATTGAGCATCTGCCCCCTGGTAGTCAGTGCACGTCATAGTGACCAGTTGTTCTGGTCGTTCCAGTCATTCCAGTTGTTCCAGTTGACCAGTTGTAAGGGTTGCTTAGGCTTTTATATATATAGACTAGAGGCCCAGTGCACAAAATTCGTGCATGGGTTGGGAGTCCCTCAGCCCGGCCTGCACCCTCTCACAATCCGGGACCCCTTGGGGGATGTCCGACAGCCCTCTCGCAACTGGCTCCTAACTGCTCACCTGCCTGCCTGCCTGATTGCCCCTAACCACTCACTTGCCTGCCTAATTGCCCCTAGCCACTTGCCTGCTTGATCACCCCTATCTGCTTGCCTGCCTGCCTGATCGCCCCAACCACCTCTGTCTGCCTGCTTGACCTCCCCTAACCACTCAACTGCCTGCCTGATCTTCCCTAACCACACTGCCTGCCTGCCTGATCACCCCTAACCACTTGCCTGCCTGCCTGCTTAATTGCCCCTAACCACTCGCTTGCCTGTCTGATCGCCCCTAACCGACTCTGCCTGCCTGATCGCCTCTAACCACTCTGCCTGCCTGTCTGATCGCCCCAATCACCTCTGCCTGCCTGCTTGATCTCCCCTAATCGCTCACCTGCCTGCCTGCCTGATCACCCCTAACCACTTCTGCCTCAACCCCCGCCGCCATAGCTTTGTCCGGAAGGGTGTCTGGAATGACGTCCGGAAGATTGTTTGGCCGTCCAGTCTAATTAGCATATTATGCTTTTATTATTATAGATAATACAAAAGGCATTAATGTATTTATTCAACAAATGTTTATTCAGGGCTTACTGTTTTAGGCTCTGGATTATGGAGGGAACAAAACAAAGACTATGCTCTCATAGAACTCACAAATAATGGGGATGCTAACAAGAAATAAAGAAACAAATATTTAACTTCATATCCGTAGTGAAAGTGCTGGAAAAAAATAGCATCAGTTTCTAGAGAGTGGCAAGAGTGGGCAACGAGGCCTCTTTAAGGAGGTGACATCTACGCACAGGGGGGCGAGGGAATGAGAGAGGCCCCGGGGTCTGCTTCATAAGCCTGAGCAACCAGAAGGCCCTGTGGCTTCCGTGGAATGAGCGAGAGGGTGAGTGGTAGAACCTGAGGTTGGTGGGGTAACTCCAAGGGATGAAGGAAATGCTACAGTGAGCGGGGAGGAGATTGGATATACAGTGGGGCCTTGACTTACGAGTTTAATTCGTTCCGAGACCGAGCTCGTTAAGGAGCTCGTTAACTCAAATTACTCTGTCAACTCAATGCAAAAAATCGGCGGAGAGACAGCTGGTATCTCAAAAACACTCGTAAGTCAAGGCCCCACTGTATTCAGAACACACTGGGAAGCCATGGCAAGGCTCTAGGCAGAAGTAACATGGTCTGACTGACTTTCTCTGGCTGCTAAGAGACTGGAGGACTGGGTACTAGCATCAGGGAGACCAGGTCCAGCAGCACTAAGTGAATTTAAATGTCACCTGTCTGAGCCCTGGCTTGCCCTCTTAAAAACTGTCCTCCACTGTCTGTAATACAAAGCAAATCATCCGAAATCTGGAGCGGAAGCTTTTATCATCTTCCCTCTAATGCAGTGGTTCTCAACCTTGGCTGCACATTAGAATCACCTGGGAATCTTTTTAAAAATCCTGATTTCTGGGGCCTCATCCCTCTGGAAATTCTGTTTCTTTGTTACTAATGTTGTGGCCCACCCCATAACAAAGAAACAGAATTTCCGGAGGATGAGGCCCAGAAATCAGGATTTTAAAAACATTCCCAGGTAATTCTAATGTGCAGCCAAGGTTGAGAACCACTGCTCTAATGGGTACTTACCACGTGCCAGGCATTCATTGAATCCTCACAACCACTCCATGTCACGCCCATTTTAAAGGAGCAACTGAGGCTCAGGTGAAATGCATACCCAAGGTCACAGCTAGAAAAAAAAACAGAGCTGGGATTAGAGCCCAACTCACCTTGCCCCGAAGTCCTAGCCCAGTGGTTCTCAACCTTCTGGCCCTTTAAATACAGTTCCTCATGTTGTGACCCAACCATAAAATTATTTTCGTTGCTACTTCATAACTGTAATGCTGCTACTGTTATGAATCGTAATGTAAATATCTGATATGCAGGATAGTCTTAGGCGACCCCTGTGAAAGTGTCGTTCGACCGCCAAAGGGGTCGCGACCCACAGGTTGAGAACCGCTGTACCTAGCCTCTTATCGACCATATGCAATGGGTCATCTGCAGCCCTCACCCTCCCTCTCCCCACCATCCAGAGAGTTCTTTCTCAGCTTCAGGCTGAAAGAGTTATGGGTACCAGCTGCCCTCACTGCTCTGCACATGCCACACTCCGTGTCGGCCAGCAGATGGCGCCAGAGCCACGTCGGTATTAGCAGAGCCTTGGGCATTGCCAGGTGGGGGCCCTTTCCTGCTGAGGCCTCCTCTCCCAAGCATCCCTGGTTCTTGAAGCCCCACTGTGTGCAGCATCTGTGTACATACATTCACCATTGGTTCCTGGGCCGTGCAGCCCTGGGGGGACTACTGACAAGGTCACACTGGAAGTTGGGGTCCTGGGCTCCACCCCGAGCTCTGCAGCCAACTCACTGGGTGACCTTAGACAAGCCCTCTGGGCCTCAGTTTCCCCTTCTGTGCACAGAGAGAGTGGCTGGCCAGGCTGACCACCAGTGGCGTCCGTACCACGTCATCACCTTTCCCCCTGCTCGTGGTTGAGTAGTCGCAGTGAGGGGCTAACTGCAGTCTGCTTGGAACAGACTGAAGGATTCTGGAGAGAAGCCAGGGAAGGGGGCGTCCAGGCCGGAGGACGTGCAGCTCATAGGCCGCCTGCAGACCCGCTTGAAGGAGAGAGAGGAGATCATCAAGCAGCTCACGGTGAGGCTGTTGGCTACCAGGGGGCCCTGCGTGGGTGCCTGAGAGTTCCTGGGGGAGGAGGGAGGGAGGGAAGGGGCATTCTCCTGCACCTGGCATTTCACTGGGCACCTCAGGTTTTAATGATGATAACCATAAAACCACCTTACAAAAGATCCTTGGTTATTTTTCTACAAGAGAATTCATACTCACTAAAAAAAAATTAACACAGGAAAATAGAAGGCAAAAAAGTCTCTCTGCTCCCAGGCCCCACAGCATCTACCCATGGCTGATATCACTCTTTTTTATTAGCCAACAGAATTTGGGGAGGTCTAGAATGGCTCGCCTTAGGTTTGAATTTCAGCAGATTCAAGCAAGCCAATTACTCTATATTCATCTTCTGTAAAAATGACCACCTGTTTTCCAGTTAGCAAAGCCACCCCCTGGGTCCCTTGAAGGGAAAAGCTTTCTTTGACTCCCTCTGCTTCTGTATCAGGCATCCACCACAGCCTGGTAGCCATTTATTTAAAAATAATACAGAAGGAAAGAAAAAGTGGCACACATTAACAACATTAGCCAGACAGGGATTGTACCTGGGGGTCTGCTTGCTTTGCCTCCTCATTGACTTTCTGCACTTTAATTGTTAACTTCCTGCAGTGCTCTTCTCAGATGCTGATAGCACTTGGGTCTCTAACTTCCCTAAGGCATTCCCAATAAGCTGCTGGCCCATTGCTTTACAAGAGGGGCCGGGACACAAAGACCCCAGGAGTAAAGGCGCTTCCTCACAGCTCCCTGGATGGCATCTCGTTCGCCTGGCTTCCCCCCCCCCCGCCCCCCCCAGGACTTTCCTTCTCTCTGTCTTCCACCCTACACGAGCAGCCGCCCAGTGCCCTGTGGTTAGGCTCATTTAGACGCAGT